CTCCCCCCCCCCCCCCCCCCCCCCCCCTCTCTCTAAAAAAAAAAAAAAAAAAAAAAAATCAATGGAAAAAATATCCTTGGGTGAGGATTAACAACAACAAAAGGTTCTCCTTTAAAATAACTGTTTTTTTAATTTAAAAAGTATGTTTTAGTCACCCTAATTGACAGAAATATATAATTGTATATGTTCTTTGGTGTTTTGTCTGAACAGTGAAGAGAAAATATTAATGCTGGAGCAGCCAAATATTGTTCAGTGTAGTTGTTCCTTAGGTTATCTTCAGTTGGAAGAACTACTAGATTAATTATATGGTTTTACCTAATCCTATATTAAAGAAAAGCAACCTTGATATATTAAAGAAAATACGCTTGAAACATGTCTACTTTCGTTGAAATGATCACTGTACCTTTAAACTGGCTTATGCTAAGTGAAATAAGCCAACCAGAGAAAGACAAGTACTGTATGATTTCACTCATGTGGAATTTAATGAACAGACTGAACTACCAAGCAGAATAGAGACAGACCCATAGAGAACAGGCAGAAAGTTCTGGGGAAGGGTTGGGGGGAGTGTTGGGAGTGGGTAGAAGGATTGAGCCAAAAAGAAAAAAAAAGAGAATTCATGGACATGGACGACAGTGTGGTGATTGCAGTTTGGGAGGGTGGAGGTAGAAGAGAGTATGGAGCAGATAAATGGTGATGGGAAAAAAAAAGAAAAGAAGTATATTTGGGGAAAGGTCCTAGTCTTTTAAAGTACTTTGGAAGGCATTTCAATTTTTAAAGGCATTTCAAAGTATCTTAAAAGGTACCTTTTAAAAGTATTTTAAGGTATTTTCAAAAGAAAGCAAGACTTTAAAAGTATTTTTGTTTTACTTTTATTAATTTGTATATATGCATATTAAATATGTGTATGTGTTATAGATCTTATTACAATTAAGCATATCCTTCCCATTTTTTTTCTTTATTATTTTCTTATGGGCCTATGTAAACTTAAACTTTCATATGGACCTTCTAGAATATTTGGTCATTTAGCACTTTTTATTTATTTACTTTATTTTTTATTTAAAAAATTTATCTTTATTGTTGAAAGTATTACAGATGTTCTGTTTTCCCCCCATTGATCCCCTCCAGCTGGCATCTGACCCCCCCTCCATTTAGCACCTTTTATTTGCATAGAGTTTCATAAATGTAATGAAGCCATGGCCAGAGTAGCTCAAATATTTTTATCAATGATAAAAAAGCTAAAGTCCTCTGAAAGTAATTTTTTGTATTTTTATTACAGGTAAATTGGGATATTCACATTGTACAGAAACAGAGGTAAGAGAAATGCTCAAATATTTCTTAGTAAAGCAATTTTGCAGTCCTCTGTAGACTACTAACTTTGAGTACTAACTGTTTCACTATGGGGTTTTTGGTGTTCTGATAAGAATGTGTTGAGAGCAGGTATATATCTTTTATATTTGGGAAGAGTAAAATGTGAAGAAAAGACAGTTACCTTATCCATGTTTTTAAAATGTCAGGGTTATTATATAAAGATTAGCTTAATCATAGTTTAAATTTTTCTTGAGTTATTTGTGAAATTGAGTTAGCTAAGGTTAAGAGCCCTTAATTTGAAGTAGTTTAAGTTCTTTTTTCCCCCATAAACCAATCTAGTGTGTCATAATAAAGAAACCATTTAAATGTCTTAGACTCCTATGGAGCTGCCTTTGTGTAGGAAAAAATAGGAACTTGGAAACTGTGTTTCTGTAAGATTAATAGTGAATTAATTGCTTTGTTATTTGTATAAGTAGGATTATTAATTTTTAATAATCTAAATAATTTAAAATTCTAATTGTGAAACTTAAGGAATTTCTACTATCTTAGGTGTTCCTTGCAGGAGTTTCAAGTATAACACTGAAATACGAGGGCTGCCTCCATGAGTTATGTATGTGTGGTGTTCCTTTCAGGAGCTGTTGCATCCTTCTTACATGAGGAGTCTTAAATCTTGAGTTAATAGCAGTGCCTAATTTTAAGGATTTAAGAAGTTACTTTTCTAATTTTATAATACATCTACATGTTAATGCAGGTGTTAGTAACTTTTAGCTGTTACTTTAAAATTCGAGGTTCCCAAGGGATTATACTGTATAATAAAGAAGCAAAAATAATTTACTATTTTTATATTCAAAAGTTATACCATTCATTTTTGTATTTTTTATTCAACTTTGAAAGTAGAGATGTTTCCAAATTAGCCCTAAAAATAGGCAAGAACTTAATATTTTTATGTTGCAAGGATTTTTTATATACTGTTTGATATAATATAAAGGAGTGGGATTTGATTTGAGTCAAAAGATATAAATTCTGTCGTTTCTGGTGTGTTTCTTTCTAGCTTTGTAATTTTGAGCAAATAATTTTTTTCTTAGAACTTTTGCTTTTTTATCTATGAAATGTTAATGATAGTCCCTGTAAACCTCATGCATTGTGAAATTTTAAAGAGACAATATATGTGAAAATGTTTTGTAAACCCCAAAGACACTATTATATATGTCAAGATGATACAGATATAGTCAGCATTCATCTGCATTTAGGTAATGAAATGTGAGGGTTTTACATACAAGGCATAGTCATAAAGTCTTATTATTCTGTCTTATTATGGCAATACAAGCCATAAAATCAACATGGTTTTAATGTCTTGTTTAGTACTTACTTTGTATAGGAGTGTCACTTCATTTTATCTCCTGGCCCTTATACTTTGATTCATAACTTACTCTGGTCACCCAAAGAATCAGAATCTAAACAGAACTCTTTTCCAGATTTTTTTTCTATAACTATTTAAAGAAGGAAAATCACAAGAAAATAAAAAATTAACAGTGGTAGTTACCTCTGGGGAAGAGATTGGGATTGTGAATGGTGATTTACCTATATTGTTTGGATTTTTTAAAAAATGAGATTGATCTCACTTATATGTGGAATCTAATGAACAAAATAAACTGATGAACAAAATAGATCCAGAGGCACAGATACGTGGAACAGACTTACATATCTCAGAGGGGAAAGGAGTGGAGGGGACAGGAAGAGATTAACCAAAGAACATACATCCACATATGCATAGCGCATGGACACAGACAATAGTGTGGGGAAGGTTGGGGTGGGGTGAGGGCTGAGTGGAGGGGGGGATAAAAGGGAGGCATCTGTAATACTGTCAACAATAAATAAATAAATAAATAAGGGGAAAAAATGAGACTTTCTGTATATACTTTGGTAATTACAATAATTAAAAGGAGGGGCAGTAGAGCCAGTGGGAAATTTTTAAAGAAGTTTGGTGACTTGAGAGAAAGAGGAGAGAGCTTAAGTAGGTAGTTTTGTTTTGTTTCATTTCTGTTTTTAGGTTAAGGAAGACGATAGATATATTTGGTGGTGGTGGTGGTGGTGGTTGTTAAGGGAACCAAGAGACAGTGGTACTGGAATCTAAATTAGTAGATATTTGCTGAAACCAGACCTAGGACTACGTCTAGAAGATGGCTTGATTAGAGCAGTGGTGCTCTTAGGGCTTTGGGAGTGACTTCCTGACACCCTTTCAAGGTCAGGAGAAAAATATTTTCAAAGTAATACCAAGACATTCTTTGCCCTTTTACTTTCATTGTCTCAAGAGTGTACAGTGGAGTTTTCAGAGGCTACATGAATGTGTGACTGTGACTAACACCAGACTGCAGAAGCCGATCTGAGATCTAGCTTTTATTAAGCATGACCTTCAAGAGTTTTGCAAAAATGTAAAACAGTATCACCCTTCTCACTGTTTATTTTGAAAAGAGTTTTTCCATTAAAATGTTACTGATATTGTTTAATATTTTTAAATGATTTAATTTAAATTTTTAAAAATCTCAGTTTTCATTTCTAATATAGTAAATGCTGATAGGTTATAGCTCATATAAACAAAGGCTCCTTGGACTCCTCAGTAATTTTTTAGAATGTAGAGGGGTCCTAAAAACTAAAATGTTTGAGAACTGTTGGCCTGGGAGATGGCAGAGGAGCTTGTTCCTGAGAAACAGAATTGAGTGTTGAAAGAGGTAAAACTATGAAGTTGAGGGAATCCTTGATGTAAGGATTTAGCCAATCTTTTTGTCAATGAGAAGACAGGGTTATTTTTGAGAGTGAAGTTATACTGGATCAGAAAGGTTATTGCTAGAGCCTCTTTTTGACCTTAAATTGTTTTTCTATTGATAAAAGAGATTCCTAGTTCTTTTTGTAAGTTAAAAGCCCCTCAAGCTCTTGCTGGTATTAAGGCCAGACCAAGAAAAGGGCTGCTAACAAGTTGTGTAGGTAAGTAGAAGTGAGTAGGATCTTCGATAGGATTGGAATAGCATATTGCTGGTTCCACATGTAATACTGGCTTATGCCAGCCTTTCTGAATTGGAAAGGGTATTGTTGGGAAGAGTCAATGTGATGGAAAACAGAATCCCTTCATCTTTCTGGGTCTGTAGGACCCTCATCAAGGCATGTAGTTAAAATCCATAAGTTTAAGTTTGACTGTTTTTATTAGTTTTTGTGGTACATAAAAATTGTTATGAATTATTTTCTAGTTTTAATTTTCCCTTTAATGCTTCTCATACAACTCAAACAAAATTATGACTAGAGAAAGCAAGGAGGCCATATATAGGCATTTGATCAACTTTTATGTGATCTTCTACTTCAAGATTAGCTTAATGTTTTTCGAAATCAAGTACAGTTGACCCTTGAACAATGTGGGGGGGTTAGAGGTGCTGACCCCTTGCGCAGTCAAAAATCTATTATAACTTTTGTTGTTGTTAATCCTCACATGAGGATTTTTCCCCCCATTGATTTTTAATGAGGGAGGGAGGGAGGGAGGGAGGGAGGACAGAGAGGGAGAGAAAGAAACATCAATGTGAGAGAGAGACATCAAATGGTTGCCTCCCTCATGCGCCCTAATGGGCCAGGGATCAAAACTGCAACCCAGGTCCGTGCCCTTGACCTGGAATCAAACCCATGACCCTTCGGTGCACTCACCAGCACTCTAATCACTGAGCCACACTGGCAAGAGCCATTATAAATTTTTGCTCTGCAGTTGACCCTTCATATCCATGGATTTCTCATCCACGGATTCAACCATGTATCAAAAACAGTATTTTGCATCCGTAGTTGACAAACCATGGTTGGGAAATGTAGTTAGGACCACAACTGGGAAAGCAAAAATACTGTTTTAAAAGACATGCACTTTTTTTTGCTTTAATAGGTAATTTAATTTTTTCCTACAACTTTTTTTCCTTCATTTTTTGAAGGTATAATTTACATACAGTAAAATTTAACCTTTTGAGTTACAATTGAGAATTCCCATTTCCCTCCTCTCCCATTTTCCTTGTAGTTATTCCCTCCTCTCCTCCCAGCAGTTGGCAACCACTGATCTGTATTTTGCCCCTTTTGTTTAAACAATGTGTTACCCTAACTTCTTCTTCTCTAAGTGTGGTTCAGACTGATATTTATAAACTCTTGAATGATTGACCTGTACTTGTGGGTACTTGTCTGCCAAGGAAGCAGTCCTGATCCATAGTTTAGGGGGAGCTTTCACCCCCATTTTACAAATTTTTTCTACTGTCATTATTTAAATAGCTTTGTGGATTATACTCTTCAAGTTAATGAAAATTGCTAAGCACTTAAAAATACTAAAACCTAAAGGATTTGAATTTTCAAGTATTTTAATTGAGGCTTTTTCACTGTTGTTTTTAGTTTTCCAAATTTCATCACATTCCTGTCTTCTATTAACCACCAGTAATTATGAAGCACTCAGAGGCCCTTAACCTTTAGCAGGAAAGAAGGTTAAATGAATAACTAAAACAATCCTGGTGTTCCCCTTGGTGGATTAGCTGTATTTTAAGTGGAGTAGGTTAAAGCATTATATAAGGTTAACTTTGTCAGTACTTTAATCTTGACAGAGCTAGTTTGTAAAAACAGTAGCATAGCAGAAATATTTAAGCTTTACTGAGGGAAATTATTAAAAACACGTTCACATCTTGGAAATAAACTGCATATATACCTTATATAAATACTTTGTTCACTCCTTTGCCCAATTTACATCTAGCAGAAACACATTCCCTGGCTACATAATGCCAGGAATTTAAATAGTCACAGGTAAGAGGTATATACAGAATAAGGAGACACTCGGGTATTTCACTGTCCCAAGTGGGACACTAAGTTAATTATCAGCATTATGCAGATACCTTACATTGCGGATAAATAAAGACTGATTAAGAGAAACCTGAATGAACTGGCTATAGTTATTTGAACAAGTTACTTAACCTCTCTGTACTTTAGCTCTCGTTTCTAAA